CTTCATTTCTGGATCCACTTCGTAGGCAATTTTACTAATACCTTTGTTGTTTTTTTTTTTTCATAAGTACGTCTGGCAAACCGTAGCAATAAAACTGCAAATATTTTATTTCCACCGTTTATCGATTTATTATAAATTTTGACAATTTTACAACGTACACATCTCACATATCTAGACATCAGATGCTTAGAAAACATTTTTCATTTATTGACAAGGGAAAAAATTACTGTCTTTGCATTTATTTGCTGTTTTTTTTTTTTTTTTTTGCTTTTCTTCAGCTTTATTTTATTTTTCGTTAATGCTATAAGAGCCTCGGTATATATAGAACAAAAGGTTCACTTATTGCTGTTAGTGGTACATAAGTGTAGGTATATGTAACTTATTTATATGTCTATATATATATATATGTAGTATTTATTTCTTTCATCACGTACATAGGTAATTCATTTGATGGCTGAATAATGGTACAAACGCCGTCTAATAATTGCAATTACACCCACGCATTTACACATATCATTTTTTCCCAACATTCATTTAATTCATGACGGGGGATTATGTGCATACGCGTTAATCGATAAGAAGAAAAAAAATTCTCTCTCCTTTGCAGTTTATTCTGTACCATTCCATTTTTTATTATTACCTTTGTCCGGTTGTTCTTAAATCTTATGGTACAGTAAACATACTAAATGCATATTAAACTATTTTTGTAGGCCTAATTATTATGGATTCGCAATCCCAATTCCTTGGATTGCCATCACAATTCCTTTTTTTTTCATTTATTTGCATCACAGGCACGGATGTTATTTATTTATACAGATAGACAAATTTGTTTCTAGGTTTTAGTCCTCAATAAAATATAAATTACATATCCCTTCTTTTTGAGTAATATTTTTTATTCAAAAACCAAAGGGCGACTCCAAGTTTCTTTTACACAACACATTTGCCATCTTTTTCAGGTTTATTGCCTTATAATTTATATATTTAAAATTACAAATTTTTCTTTTCAGTTTTAACATAACGTTAGGTGATTCACTCAGCTAGAGATTTTATTTTAAAAACATCACAAAAATACTTCGGGACAGTAAACATTTTTTCTTTTTCCTTTTAAGTAACATAATTAATAAAAAACAATTAGTAGAACAACCGATATCAGACGTTAGAGACTTAATTATGTACAACGCGCAGCACATTTTTAATGTCTTCTTCCAGACAAGCCCAAACGTTCACTGACTATCAAAACCCCTTTTTTTCTCTTTTTTTTTTTCTCTTCTTCTTGCATAGCGGCAAGCCGCTATTCTTGCGATCACGCGATTTTGCATAACGGGATGCCGTTATTACTACATTTTCAACAAACCCAAACCGACTGACACCCTGCCCTAAGTTTGCTCGCGGACGTTACATAGGATAAATAAGACAAGGTAGGAATTGGTCATGGAAGTGTCGCACGGAGTGCGTACTGCGAGGGGCTGCCTCGTCCAACACGATCACCATGCCGCCCGCGACGCGTAATCCCGTGGCGTTGTCCGGGTTGGGTAACGGATTTAGCCTCCTATAAGTGAACGCGCTTTAGCATTCATGTGGAGGCATCCTCGACCTGGATAATGTTCGAGGATTCAGACCGAATCACGGCGTAAGGCCCCTGGAATGGAGGTGCAAACTTGGCGGCGAACTGGTTGGCTGCTTTCGAAAGGGGGTGATGGTGGGTGAACACCAAATCCGCTGGTCGGAGGACAAGATCTCGAGATTACGGCGCACGCGGTGGATGACCTCGTTAAGGGATTGAGCGCTTCGCCGCGGCGACTGGGGCTGGTTCAGAACTCAGGAGCGCGCTTGGTTGTAGAAACCGTATGGCAGCCAGGGTGATCTACGGTAAATGCTGGTCCCACGCTGCGTGCTCATGTTCGCAGTATTGCGCGATGGTCGTTTTGACGGTTCTGTTGACCCTCTCGGTAGGGTTTTCCTGTTGTGTGTATGGTGCAGTGAAGCGTTGCCTGACTCCGATCTGCTGCAGGTAACTCTAGAAGTGCCTGTTTGTGAACTGCACCCCGTTATCGGTAACGATGTCTCGTGGAGTACGAAATTTGTTGAGTATTCGCCTTCGGAAGGCGCCTTTCAGTGAGGCTGCGGTGGCTTGCTTAAGCGGAACTAATTCTACCCATTTGGAGAACTGGTGTGCGAACATTAGGAGCAGCGTATGGCCAGCATTCGTCTGCGGTAGTGGTCCCACGAAGTCTGAGCAGACAGTTGACCGATGGTCTTCCGGCTGGGTTTATATTGTTGACAGCTCAACCACTTGCGGGCAATGTCTCGGAGCATCCCGGGCCAATTATGTCGGCCACAAACTCGTTGCATCGTCTTTCGTATGCCAAGGCGCGCCACTTTGGATTCGTCATGGTTCTCTGCAAGATCTCGGCCCTCATGTTTGTTGGCACGCATAGTTTACATGCCGCTTCCCCCTCCTCCAAACTACCTCGCGGAAAATGGCGGTATAGCCCTCCGTCGATGATGGTAATATGGGGTAACCTCTGCGGTTTTACCTGTATCTCTCGCATCTTGTTATTAAGAACCGGTATGGTACAGATGGCTCGGTGCATGTTGCCGAACGGTTGAACTCTCCGGAAGCGCGCGTCGGCCACAACATTTCTCGGTCAGCGCCCATAATGGACTTCGAAATCTTACTGCTGTAATTTTAAAGCCCACCTAGCTAAACGGCCAGTACAGTTGTCCATGGAGTTCAGCCACTTTAAGGATAGATGATCGGTTGCGATGTTGAAGCGGTAACCCTTCAGATGTGGCCTTATCTCTTCTGATGCCGAAGATTGTCTCCAGGCTTTCTTTTTCTGTAGTTTCTCTCGGCTCTATTCAAGTGCCGGCTGGGATACGCAATCACACATTCTTCGTAGGCGACGAAATACTTCACGCAGGTTGGCCAGGTGTTTGCTCAGGGTCATTCCAATGACGATGATGTCGTCTAGGTACGCAAGTATGTGTAGCTCCATCACAGGGCCAATCACGCTGTCTAGGACTAGTTGAAAATTTGCAGGCGAAGGGTGCAGGCATGACCTTTCACTGGAAAAGTCCTCGTGCTGGCAGCGTAAACGCTGTGTAAGCCTTGCTTGTGCTTTCGAAAGGATTTTGTGAACAGACCTATTTGAGATCGAGGCTATTAATGTATCGGGTCAACGACTGCATTGTCAAAGCGAAACGAATCTTTCAGACTCCGGGCCCGTTTTCGCCCGACAAGGTGTATATAAACACTCCATGTCCAGTCTAAAAGACAGAAGTGGATTATGAAGAACAGACAGAACAAATTGCAAAAAAATCCTCAACACAAAAATTTATCAACCAATTTAAGTAAACTTCTCTGTTACGTTGACACTGCAACAAGAGGCCAAAAGCAAAACAAACTACAAACACCAACAAAACAAACAAAGAAAAAGAAAGAAAAAAAATAAAACAAAAAAAGAGAGATTTATATCAAAGCTCAAATTTTTGTTTGCAAAAATCCAATGAATCAAAGCGTAAAGAAAAAATACTTTTGTTCAAAAATGTTATGAATGTATTTTTGTGGTTGAATGTTCAGTGCCTAATTGGTTGATATAATTCGACAAGACGTTGGTTCAAGTCGTACCAACTTATTATATTTAGTTCTTCCAGCACTTGTAAATGGGAGAAACCTCTAAACAAAAATACCGGTCAATGTAGTAGTGCAAAGACCAATTTATTGATAAAGTTATGGCTTATAAATTACAATTCTTATAAACTAATTAAGAATTATGTTGCTAAAAATAAAGTCATAAAAATGATGCACTTGCATTTTGCGTTTATTTATTTACTTGTGAGCCAGAGTCCAAAATCGCACGAAATTCCGCTAAATTCCCGTTGGCTGCAATTATTCTTACTCTTGCCGTTGCTAGTAAGACATAATTCTTCTGTGGCACTGAGTTGTCTACTGCTGCTGACGTTACGACTGCATTTGCTGCAGCATAGATGTACCGAAACTATCACCTCCCAGTGCTGACCCCCGGGCAACGGCTTCGGCCGGCTAAGAAGAGTTTAAGGTTTTGGGCTGCTAACTCGGCGACGAGTTTCTGAGAGATGGTGGAGGGGTTGGCTGGAAGATGAGCTCTTCACTCAATAGCTGGTTACTACCTAGGAAATATCTGAATGGGTTTAAGTACGTTGAAGGTAGTAACCTAGCGAATGCATGGTAGATCACTCTGCCATGTCAGTGCAATACCCGAGACCTATATATCTCGAAGAAAAGTAGTTCACTGGTGTTGGCAACCAGGAAAGTATGGAGAATCCGAAGCAACTACGGTTGTTTTTAACATCCGCCCAAAGTATGCCAAAGGCTTTGTAAAACAAACTGGGAGCCACGGGTGTCAGGAGGCTCGCCTCACAAAGCCACGTATGCCTGCGGGTGTATGATGGACTTTGTTCTTAAAGTCGTAATGAAATAAATTAATTTTACTATTAGTGCAAAAAGGAATTGACGGACGGCCTTCCCTTTGGCCGATTAATAGAAACCCTCTCGTAAGTTAATTTAATACATGCAAAAATGAAAAAAGGGATTTGACGGAAAGGTTTTTCCCCTTTTGCCTATTTTTACTTTTGAACATATGTCACGGATGCCTGCGGGTAATGGTGGTAATTGATCAACAGCACAGTGGAAGCTTTATAGCGGAAGCAAGCGTTGATCAATTTGTGAGTCCTGACTGCTTGGGTGCGGCCCTTCGGGGAGTACTCGTGGTGGTTGTGGTTGGCGAGTTCTTAGCTAAAATGGAACAATTTGAGTGCAGCTAGGCCTCACCATTGACCAGAGTGGGGTTTATTGTTCCATACACAATAAACCGTTCTGGACTCTGGTGCTGTTTAGGCCCCTACTCTGTGGGGATTGTCTAACTCGCCAGGGGGAGTAGTACGCTTAAAGTGGCTTTTGCCACCGTGGGGTTAAGCCTTTCAGGCAGGAACCCACGTTAAACCCTTGCCACAATTCTGCATTTGATGCTTTTGTTTCAACCCTAGGTGGTTGATTAATGGATGATGTTGGACTCGGGTGAACTTAAATTTTGTTCGGCACCGGATTTGACGACTGTCTGGATGCTGATCCAGAGAAAGGCTTGGAAGTTGAATTTAGGTGTAGCAATGTGTTGTGTTTTTTATTGCACTTTCTGTAAGCACCTGAGGGACATTTGTTGGATGAGTGGTTGGGCTTGAAACAGTTGAAGCATAGCCTTTGTGATTGAACATACTTCAACCTCTGTTTCAGATAGCTGCAGAAATTTGATACATTGATGTAGTGGATGTATCCCTAAGCTGCAGTGTTTGCATTTTTTATCTTCTGGGTTTGCTTGCACAACTGACGAGACTGTCTTGCGATGTGACAGTGATGGCCTTTCCTTCTGATTTATTGTCTCCATTGTTTGGAATTAGATCGTTAATGCTTGGCAATTCCTTTGGTTGGCGTAAGGATTGCTCAAACCTGATATGAAGATTGCGGTCAAGTTTTTTGATCAGAATGTGCAGCAAGATTGAGTCCCATTCATCGGTTTTGATTCCAATATTATTTAGTGCTAGCAAACACTCTCGCGTTGTGTCATGAAGAGTTTTAATAGATGTTGCACTTGAAGTGGTGGCTGGATGACTGATGATCTTCTCCACCAATGTTGAGGCAAGAATGCGCTTGTTGTTGTAGCGCTCCTGTAATGTTGTCCAAGCGGAGACGTAATTTTCTTCCGTTGTCGTGAGATAGCTAATCAATCGCTCGGCTTCTCCTGTGAGGTTAACCTTTAGGTACGACATCTTTTGCACATTGGATATTGGCTGAAGATGAATCATGTGCAGAAATAGATCGTAGAATTGCCTCCATTTGCTGTAGTCTCCATCGAATTTCGGAATAGTTATCTTCGGAAGAGGCAATGAATTTGGGATGGATGTCCTGTATTTTGTGTCTTCGATGGGTGTTGTTTGAAGTTTAGTTAGTGCTTCAACAACCATTGATTGAAGTTGGTCATGATTATCTTGATCTAGACCATTGTTTATTGATCTGAGACCTGTTCCCAGGTTTGATCGTATAAGTCCTCCACTTGACCCCATAACTTGTTTATGGTGTCAATGCGGACCGTATAAAATTGTTGTGATTCATTGGGGCTGCAATTTGTGAAAAATGTTCAAAAAATGTTATGAATGTATTTTCTTGGTTGAATGTTCAGTGCCTAACTGGGTGATATAATTCGACAAGACGTTGCGTCAAGTCGTACCAACTTATTATATTTGGTTCTTCCAGCACTTGTAACTGGAAGAAACCACTAAACAAAAATACCGGTCAATGTAGTAATGCAAAGACCAATTTATTGATAAAGTTATGGCTTATAAATTACAATTCTTATAAACTAATTAAGAATTATGTTGCTAAAAATAAAGTCATAAAAATGATGCACTTGCATTTTGCGTTTATTTATTTCCGGCAATATGAACCGCTTGAAGTGTGCCACAAAAATGCAATATAAGCAAATTGATGTAAACGATCGATGACACACTTCAAGGTCTGGATTACGTAACAAATGATATTGTTGTTTGTGGTCAGTTGTATGAAACGGACAAACACAGAAACGCGATTGTGTAAATGCAAGCGCATAAACAATTGAACTTAGTCATGTTGATATGTGAATGTGTAAATGAAAGATACAAAATTGAATGAACGTACATATATTTAACTTAAGAACTGAAATTGAATAGAAGTATATACTTAAAACTAAACAACTTCTTTTACCTTGAATTCACTCACTTTCTTCTCAAAGTTTATTATAAATTTACGCAATAAGGCAAAATAGCCACGAAATTCAATAAGAAATTAAAATATTAATTACCGAAACAAAATATAGACGACTATACCGCGTGACAGAGTTGGCAAAGTTTTCTTTTGTAATAAGTTGTTTATTTTGTCCTGTATTTTCAGAAGATCGTCATGGTCGAGATTACCTGCTATCCATTTCCAGGCGGATTCTATGAAATCCAATGATATTTTCGTTATTATTTTCCCAGGCTTCAGCCGTCGAAATAAATTTTCGACTTGATCCATTTCGTGCTTAAATAAGGAAATAGGGAATGATCACTATTGTTGTTGACTATCTCTTCCAATTCAATGATTTTTGCTTCACATTCGTTTAAGTCAATTACGTGGATTAACTTGAAGTTTCCAGATTGTATCCGCCCTTTTCCTAATTATCTCAATCAAGAACCTGAGATACAAAGTTTAGTTCCTTATGCCTAGTCGTTTGTTATGTTTTATGTAAATTTTGTCGTCTGGTAAGTAGTGTTTCATTGTTGTTTTTGTTTTGTTGTGGTATTTCAAGTCCTGTCTCTGTTTTCTTTTCAGTCTTTCGATACTTTGTAATCTTAATTTTTCGAATTCTTCGGGGTCGATATTGGGAGTACGTCCATGCAGAGGTTCTTTTTGTAACGGAATAAATAATGAACTTGTATTCATTTACAGCTCGTTTCAGCAATTCTTAGAAAGTTCTTTTTTGTCCACCCGATTTGTGGCATTTTATTCTTTCGCACAAGGCAGAATGAAATCGTTCGATTTGTCCATTCACATCGCTCCTGTATGGCGTTGTGCGACATACCTTGATTTTGAGATCGTCTTAAAGCACGGGCATAATAAAGGCAGATTGCAGGACCTTTCCGTTATCGATTCCGATCACCTCGGGAATACCGAAATAGAACAAGACGTCTTGTAAAGGTCTCTTGATATGTTCAACAGCGCAGGATTGAATCAGTTTCGTTATTGCGAATTTGGTAAATTTGTCTATGGCGGTTAGTACCAGGTGTCTTTAGGTAGAGAAGATATCGATGTGTAGGGTGTGACTCGTATGACTTGGAATAGGTATAGGCTGAACCTCTATGTTGTTAGGATGACGATCGTATTTGTTTTCCTTGCATCTTTTGCAGTTGTTAACTATTTTTTTGTCTTTGGCTCACATGTTTGGGAATTGCTGTAGAATTTCTAGGCGATTTTCTTTACCATTTCTATGGGCTCTACGATGTTCGTGACAAATTATTTCTGTCTGCTACTCTTCGATTTCTATATCTTTTACTATAGTTTGTGAGAATCGTGTGTGATAGTCTTTAAAATGCTGTGGGTAGAAACTTTGTATTATTCTCATAATTGGTTATGTGGTGCACAGACCGTTTATAACAGAAGGGTTGAGAAATTTTTTTAGTGTCTCCATCAAAGTTTCATCGGTGAGTTTTTTCTGGGTTATTTAGTGTCTTGAAAAATTCTTGAAGACGGTTTCTAGTTCATAGCAGTCTTACTCGCCATGTTTAATAATTAGTAAATTTCGGAACACATTTGCAGGAACGTCTACTGATGGAATTAAGTGCTGTCCTGAGCTTTCGACGGCATGGACGGTGCCAGTTAAAGAATTTATTTCCTTGCTTGTTAGTGGTCTAATACGATATTTTCCCTAACGGGTTGATATTCCAATTATTAGTTATACTTTTCGAGGACTGCTTTCTATCTTTTAATTTTCTGGTTTGTGTTTTTGTTGCTTATGTGAATGGTTGGTGATCCGTGCAAATATTGATCCGTATAGTAGTTTCTTTCTCGTTCGTACGCCATGACGGCGTAGGCTTCTTCAAAATATGAGGTAAGAAAATTATTGCTCTCCTATCTTGGGATAAGATAGCGAAATTGGACGCGTCTTTCGTAAGTTTAAAAGGTTTATGGACGTTGGGTTCAGTCAATATGACTTCATTCGAGCTCAGAGAGTTTTTGAGGTGACTGAAGGATTCAATATCCTTTTTCCCTAACCTTATCAATTTGTTTTTAGAGGCTTGTTTGGACAGGCATTCATGCTCCACTCTTAAAAGGCTTATCAGAGGCTTGGCAAACTTAGCAAAGTCCTCTCTGAACGTTCTATAGTAGCCTGTCATTCCAAGAAATGATCCTAAGCCCTTGAGAGTTTTAGGTGGCGGTAGGCTCGCAATTACCTGGGTGTTGTTGAGATTGGGTTTAATTCCATTTGTTCCTACTATAAAACTTAAAAATTCGACTTCAGCTTTTAGAAATTCCCAACTGTCGAGCTGAACCTTCAGGTTGGCTTTTTCTAGGGTATAAAAGACTTGCAAATTGTTGAAGTGGTCATTTGCGTCTTTTCTAAATATAATCACGTCGATTTAGACGTAACACCGCTTTCCGATGTGTTCTGTCAGAACATCCTCGAGAGTTTTTTGAAATATTGACGGCGCATTTTTTAAACCAAATGCCAGTCAGAAGAACTCCTATTTACCGTTGTTGACGGAAAAGGCGGTTTTTGGATATCAGATGAGTGGTATCTGGTGAAAACCACTTTTAAGGCCACCACTTTCTGGAGAAAAATTTGTTTCTGCTAAGATTAGATAATACCTCATTTAATTCCGGATATTTGGATATTTGTCGGGTACAGTAATTTCATTTGATTTACGATAGTCCACAACCATTTTATACTTTTTTTGACCAGAAGAGTCCACTTTTTTCGGTACACACCGGTGAGTTCTATGAAGGCTTTGAAGGTCTAATTATGTTATCCTGCAACAATTCTTTTATTTGATTATCTACTTTTTCATTTCACACGCTAGTAACTCTGCCTAAGACTTTTCGCATTTAAGAGTTTGAAGAATTAGTTTTGGTTTGACGATATAATTCATTATTTTACATTAACGATTTGTCCCAAAAACCGTTGCGAAATACATTAATCTTTTTCTTTAACTTTAGGAGACATACTACCGTTGTTAAATTAACAAAAAAAGGAAAAATAAACAAATAAACCTCTTTTGATATCTCAAACACGCAGCTGTACTGCATTAGTGCCAGTCACTAACAAAATTTAATCATCTAAGCAAATTTGGTGCTGATTGTCCCCAGACGCGTTCTCTGAGTTACGTCAAGTCTGGCGACAGCAAAGGGAGCAAATTTGTATTCGTATTGAGTATAAAACAAAAAACGTTACCATAAAACTTTCTTTTAGAACTGCGTTTACAGACCCATCTAGCCTACCCGTTCCTCTCATCATAACACTAAAACTTTCCATTTGATATTTTTCTTCCTAATAACTTAAATTTCTCCTCCTTCACATTTTCCTACACATTTTGATTATTTCTGCTCTTCTTTATTTTACAGTTCTTAGTATACCAAATGTGTTGCAGGTTGTTGCTGTGAGGTCAGCGCAATCTTCATGTTCTTTAAATATGAACGCGGTGCTATTTTCTTTCAGCGTAAAAAAACCCTTTGTTATCTTTGATTTTATTGTACCCAACACGAGTGAGCTTAGGTTCATGACATAGGCATTGTGGCATAGGCGACAAGTAATCGCATCACATCGAAACTGCACTTTCCACATTTCCTGATGGCATCAGTGTGTAGTAGTCTTTGCAGCTGATGGTATCCAAGTAATACTTGTATACACTGAGTCTGCATTTCATGAATAAGTTAAGTAAGTTTTTATTTATTTAGTATTGGGTTGATCCTTCTGTAGTAAATTATCATTAATTAAAACACAATTTCAGTTTTACTTTATTTGACAATTTTATTTCATTTTTGGGTTGAGGAACTTAAGGTGTTGAAACGATTGAAGATTGGTAATGAACTGAGTTAGTTTTAACGAATTACCTTATAGGAAACTTTTGGGTTATCCAATAATCGACAGTCAGCACTTTTATCGAAACGGAGTAATGTTCATTGTAAATATGAGATTGGTGAGAAGTGTTTATTGTAGCGTGCAATATGAGTTTGTTAAGACGTGTTTATTGTAGGGGCAATATGAGATTGGTGAGAAGTGTTTACGATGCATTCGTATGACATTCATTGTTTATGAAATGCTACGTTTGCTTATTTCATTTACTAGATTGGTTCGTCATTTTATACTTTTTGTGAAGATGGTCCTTAACTCTTCCCCCTTTAGAGCTAATTGTCCTCAATCGAAAGTAGAAATACGGAATGTCATTTAACGGGGAGACGAGTCGTTTGTGCTCCTTTTCTTGAGGCATTAAATGAAGTATGGAAGGTAGTGTCTTGTATGTGGGTATCTGTTTAGACGTGTAGGTCTTTCCGTTAACACGTATTGCAACGTTATGGAACCTTATTAAGAAAGTTCCATTAAGAAATTGTTGTTCAGTTTCTACCTGGAGAGTACCTGAAAATCCGTTTAATAAAATTTCACCGGGACATATTTCATCTATAATTGGAAAGTGCTGGCTGTTTACAATATTGCAAATGAGTTGTGTACTATTTAACAAGTTTGGAATACAGGTGGAGTTCTTTATATTTAAAAAATCTTGCCTTTTACAAACAAATAGATTTTGATACGATTTACATTTATTTAGTATCGTGAACATCTCGTCTTTTGATTTTATGATGGTCTCTGATTGAAGATCAGTTGCCATGTTATTATTTCTTTTCACGGTTTTTAAGAGAATAGTTTTGTTCACTGGTTATTGGAATATTGATGATGTAGAGGATTGATATAAACTTAGTAAATATTTTTATTTCGGGTAGATTTAATGCCTCTTCTTTTTCTGTTTCAAATGGTATTTTTTCTCTATTTATTGCTCCTATTGGTAACTGTATTTCCTCCTCAGATAAAATAAGCGAGTTTATGATTCCAGCCTTGGCCCAATGTATGGCGTGATTTATATTCTCTAGTTCCTCTCTAACGATTTTTACTTGGTATTGGATATTGGAAATCAATCTTTCCTTATTATTTTTTCCAGATTCAAATTCTTGTAGCATGATATTAGTGATCTCAGCTATATTGTTGTACATGTCCTTTGAGAGTTTAT